AGGTGGTTATTAAGCGTGTTGTCCTGCAGCCCCATTGAAAAGCACGGCAGCATTTAATAAATATTAGAGCATGTCTGCAGCACCACTTCAGTGTAGGAAAGCGATCAATTTCCATTGCAATTGTGTGCACAGGCATAAAACTCTCTTTGGAACACTTAATTCCATGTCAGAGTTTAAAGTAGCTGTGATAGTTTCTATTTAGAAATAAAGTCAGAAAGGGGGCTGGGGGGATAGATGTCGGCCATGGAGGTCAGAAAACAGAAGATGCCTCAAGTGCTCCCATAATACCATTCACCAAAGGATCTAGAAACTCATTGGCATTTGCCCAGGGTATCCTCACTTCCTATGACCTGGTTTTTACTGGCTACTTTTTTCGTAGCAACCTCTCTTGTCTTTCCCCTCCAGCTGCTACCTCAACCGGAAGGAGGAAGCAAGTGGTAGTAATTGCTGGCCAGGCCACGCTGGGGGCAAAGCCCAGCCAAAGGGGGGGGGGGATGTGAAGCCAGGAGAATACTCAAAGAGATGCAGCAAAGGAAGGGCAGGGCTTGGCAGGTACAGAGGCCACGTGGGAGGCTCCCTGCTTCTTCACGGTATGGATGCCTTTTCTACTGTGCCTTTCTCTCTTTGTGTGTGTCCTTCTCTGCCCATTCCTCAGGACTCTGTCTTCTCTTGTCTGGTTGGTCTCCCCATAAGCCCTTCCTGACTTCTGTCTGGTCACGGCAACTCTCCTTTGACCCATTTCTCTCATCACAGTGAGGTCTATCTCTGGGCTGTTTGAATGTTAAAATCCCTTTGCACCCTGCTTCTTCCAAACATGCTGGGTATGCTTAATAATTAAGGCTGTAATTAAAGTGTAACAGCAAGTATAATTAAAGTTCACTTTAGTAGATCCTGGAATTAGGAAGCAATTGGGTATTTTGGTGTGGCCCTGAAGGAGCCACCAGGAGGAAAGAGTGGGGAGCTGCTTGCTTCGCCCCTTCCCCTGAGCATGCCTATAACCTGGGCACCAGAGCTACATGGTGAGAGAATTGGTAGCAGCTTGGAGCCTGCCCAGGAGAGTAGGCAGGACAGACAGAGTGCCCTAAGACACCAAGTCACAGCCTAGGGCCCTAGAGAACCCTCTTAGTTGCAAGATGATCAGCAAAGTTCTGCCCACACCTCTCTCCCAAGGCAACACCATGTGTGACTGTGTCTGTCCTTAGTCTGTCACCTCACATGTAACATGTGGCTGATACTGCAAGATACCCTGAGAAGCAACCTGGCATTGAAGTAGGTGTGTCCTGCACTGGCTGTGGCAAATGTCAGTAAGTGTTCCCACAGGGTTCATCCCTGTTGCCATGTAGAGAACATGGAGGACTGTAGCAGCCCATTTGACAAGCCTGCTATAGCTTTTACGTTGAAGGTGGAGGCAAGGAAGGTGGCCCAGGGACTGAGTGTGAGTGGATAGGTATCCAGGGCGGAGGACAGTGGGGCTCTGGCTGTCTGCCTGGGCACTTGCGAATTTTAACACCAATCCTTTTTATTCCCTCTGAGAATATTGCTGCTAAGCCAGATGCTGCAGATGATATTAATTAAAGACCTGAATTATTTATGTTGTTGGTCACAATGAAAAGCAGCTTTATATGTGAGTTTTTCAAGACTTAGCTTCTATGCCATCCTTCACATGGAGAAGAACTCAGGTAATAATGGTTGGAGAATTCTGAGTGAATAGTTCTCAGAATGGATGAAACCATGAGAAAAGCAAGCTAACCCCCCAAAAATCACAGGGTGGGGATGCAGGAGAGGTCAGGAACAGTGTGTTCCACAGCTGTGTGGAGGTCTGGAGAGCTAGGTGCTGAACCTGGAGAATGCTAGAAAGGAAAAGCTGCTGTACTTTTTCCTTAGGTTTTGTCTTTGGCAGACTGGGGGCAGGGACAGTTGGGGAGGTTATCCCAGTCCATTTCAGTTTAGAAGGAGACAGAAATTTACATATCAAGCTTCCGGTCCAGAGATGTAATTTTAGGTCAGGCTAGACTTTTGCTTTACTCTGTCCTTGCTCCATGAGGGCCACACCTACAGATTACTACTGTCTGAATTCCTTAATTTCTTACCTAACACATGCTGTGGTCCACGCCCGGTCTTGCTTCTCAGCCTCTGGAATGGGAACTCAAACCTTACTAATTGGAGTGCACACTAGGGTTGTGTTAATGAAGTAATATAAAGTTTTGCATCTGTGTGTAGCAGATGATCCCAAAATTTGAAAATATAACAAAGAGGCTGTGAATGTCCTACATATCCAGGGGCTGGAATCTTGGTGTGACTTACCTGGGTCCTCACATTCAGTCTTCACCAGGTAAAGGTGGGGGACAGAACTTCAGATCCCTCACAGCTTGCTAAGGGGTAGTGCACTCTCAAGCTGGCTTCGATGGTTGTACTGTCCCCCGGCTGCTTCCTTCCTCCATAGCTGTTGGCTAGAGGTAGGCCTTGGGTGCTTGGGAGATGGGATGGGCTGTGTCCATAGGGTAGCTTGAAACTTGACAGCTTCCAGAGTGAAGAGAGTAATGTTAAAGCAGGCAAGACAGAAAGCACAGGCTTTCATGTCTCACCTAAGAAGTGACATCCTGTCCCTGTTAGGATCTTACACAAAGGGGAAAGGTTACACAAGCGTTGGTCACCAGGGGGCAGAGTCAATCACTTGATCTTTCTGCGATGTTTTAGAAGCTGTCTATCTCAACATTAAAAAACAGTGTGTTGGGTATAGAAATAGCTCAGTTAGAAAAGTACTTGTCGTTCAAGCCTAAGTACCCAATGTAAAATAACTGGGCATTACTGGTGTGTCCATTTGTGATGCCAGCACTGGGGAGTGGAGACAGATGGACCCCAGGGCTTCTGGGCTGGCCTGCTTGGTGACACCAGGCCAATGAGAGGCCTTGTCTCAGAAAAACTAGGTAAGCATAGGTGAGCAGCACCTGACTTGGTCATCTGGCATCTACACGCTCACACACACACACACACACACACACACATACACACACACGCAGTGTTTGATTCAGAGTGAAGCCAGCCCCTGAATGACACAGCCATGTTGATGTGTCAAGGGCTTAGCATTGATGAAATTTCTTTCTTATTAATAAAAGCCTGGGAGATTGAGTGAATCAGGTGCTTGGCTCCATGTCATAATCAAGTGTCTAGGCTGAAGAAGTCATTGCCATCCCTAAAAAGATGCCTCCCTTACTGGTAACTTAGCTGGAAGGGAAACAGAGAAAGCATGGAAGTCACATGGAGACGGTTACGAGCATGTGTTCTGGATCCACTCACATTCTATTGGGTAGGCCTGCCGTGTGAGCATACATGGGAAACAGTCTCTCTCTGCCCAAGCAGTTTTCTTCCCAGCCCTCCACTGTAGAAGGTAAGCGGGGATCTGTGGAAAGCGCACCATGTATGCCACAGAGACACTGTCAGTGACAAAGTGATTCCCCTCATAGTGTGTTGCGTGCTTCTCATTGCCATGTATTCTGTAAGCTGTGCTTACATTTTCATATTAGAAAGAAGTGTGTGGGGCTTGAGAAATTATTTATTACATGAGCAGGTACGTCTGTTCTCTGCCACTCATCACCTCCATAAATTCGCTTACTCTATAAAAGCAGGACAATAAGTAGGACCTAGTCATAGCTCTTTGTTGAAAATCATATGCTGCAGCTTAGTAGCTTGGAGTTACACCTGGCATGCAAATATACCTGGCAGATAGATATTAGCTCCAAAGAAGATAATCATGTGTGCAGATAAAGAAGCTGATGCTGCACCGCTCCCAGGGACACTACTGACAGTGGTGGCTATGAGAACAGATGGTACTTTCTTCAGTGCCGGTGCCCCGGTGATGTTGTCTCGCCCACATTCATGCAGGCAGCCTCGTTTCAACTGAATAGGTCACACACAAGCCTGGAAAGTAGGAAGGGGGTTGTTGAGAAGGGAGGAGGAGGGATGTGAGAGAGGGTGATAGGGTAAAAATAACTAAAGCTCAGTATGTAGTATATGGAACTGTCAGTGAAAAAAGATAAAGAAGTTGCAGGGCTGCAGAGATGTCTCAGTGGTGAGAGCACTTGCTGCTGTCCCGGAAGATTTGGGTTTGATTCCCAACATTCATAAGGTGCCTCAGAACCATCTGTCATTCCAGATCCAGGGGATCTGGTCCCTTCTCCTGCCTCTGCGGGCATCAGGCATGCACATGGGGAACAGACATACATGCAGACAAAGCACTCATAAGATAAATTTTTTAAATAGTTGAAACTCAAGCAAGTTAAGTGATTAACTAAACACCGTACTTTAAATGTATGGCAGAGGTAAGGGCTCTGTTGCCTTCCCCTGGTCATTGCTCATCAAGGGGCCCTTGGCAGAAGGTACGGTGCCCAGTGTTCACTTTCCACCGCTCTAGGAGACCCAGTGTCCCACAAGAGCCAGTGCTACCATCCCAGCACAGTCCGCTCACCTGGCCTGTGAGACACATGCTGACCAGACTGGTATCTGTGCCCACATAGAAAGGCATGTTCTCCATGGCCTGCATTTCAGAGCCTTTGTTAGAGAGGAAGTCCACCAAGCATCTTGTAAGAATGCAGAAACAGTTTCCCGAGACGCTTAAGTCACTTTCAAGTCCATCTCCCGACTCAGTGAAGACATAGATCCAGTGCAGGTTTTCTTCCTCACACTTACTGAGCAAGTGGCTGAGAAGCTTTGGGGGCATGCATGATCTTAACAGATGTTTCTTTCTCTTTTGGAGCAGCAGAGAAAATACAGACAGTGCCACCTAATGTGAGTTGATTGCAGGGGAAAAAAAGAGGAGGGAACGTGTCACCTGGGCACATCTGAAAAGCCAGAGCCTGACAGTAACAAGCCATAGCCATGAGTGCTGTGATTCAGTTGTTGGCATCAAGGGGACCCAGGCATCCTGGGATTTCAGTTATCCAGCTTGACTGGGTGTGCTGCTTGCAGTTGAATTTAGCAGTTGTTATTGTTTCCCCTTCTAGGAACTAATGTCCAGGAGGCTCAGAAAATCCTCAGAAGCAGTGGCCTCCCCATCATGTCAGCTGTGGACCTGGAGGATGCAGCCAAGAAAGCTGTTGCCAGTGTGGCAAAGAAGTGATGACTTCCCCCTGGCTCCCGTGAAGAAGGGCACGCCCTGCATCATGTCCCGCATCACTGTGAAAGCGATTGTTATCTCACTGGGGAAGGGGTCACACACAAGGATCATTATCTGGAAAACTTTAAGTCTGAACTTTCTCAAATGCACTATCCAGAGAGCCTGGAGCTGATCTTACACTGTAGTCATTGTTTAAAAATACACAGACATACACATACACACACACATCTTACAGTTTTACACTTTGAGTCTTGTCCAGTCACTAGCAGGGTCTGCCAGCTCTGAGCCACAGTCATTGTGGCCAAATAATGTGCATAGGTACAGTATTTGAAGCCTGATCTATATCCATCCATAAGATTTGTGGACATTTAATCTTCTGTAATAGTAAAATTGCAGGACTCACAAGTTCCAACAGGATTCTGTTTAACATAGTGACTTCTAGAAGGATACAACTAAGACATCTGAGCATCTAGGAACAGAAGTTTCCAGAAAGCCCAAGAACATAAAGTACGGTTTACACTGGGAGTCCCACATTAATACGTGTACATTGCACACATTTTACCCTGTGCCTTAATTTTACCCTGCCTCACACCAGACTGCAGCCAGAAGCCTTAGATGCAAGTTTAATGGTAGTTTCTGTTTTGTGTTGGAGCTGGTGAATGCTGACTTTTTTTGACACTGTAGTTAAGCCATCTCATTAAGAGACAATACTGAAGATCAAGCTCACATTTGCCAGCTTGTAGAGAATGTGGCCTTCCTAATAATGCCTTTCTTTTGTGCTGAGAATTTTCTTAACTTGATTTTTGTTTAATTTTGATAAATTTGTACTGATAATACATTTTAAATAAAATTTTTTTCAGTCTCGTTTCTGTCAGTTTGTCCTTGCTTTGCCATTCTTTCCTGATGAAGGCTTTGGCCTTTGTTCTGAGTCCCAACTCCAGTTAAGAAATGTTCAGTTGACCTGGGTTGCTCCAGCGCCACTCTGCCTTGTCATGTGACCATTTCTGTGTCAGATGATTCAGTGAAGGACTGAAATTTACACATTAGACACAAGCCCAGAAGTATGTCTGTGATGTCAGACAAGGTGATGTCGTCCAGTCAAACACTGGTGCATAGCCAGCCACACTATTTTGCTTGTTCACTTGATGTTATTCTTATACATTTCACAAGTGGATCAAGTAAAAAGGCTTTATACATCTGTATGTGTCATGGAGAAATAAATCATCTGCTAGATTGGGTCGTCTGTCTTTTCTTGAACACTGCACTGAGTGAAGGCCATCAAGACATCTTTCTAAATCTCTTGTTTTCTGATAGCTAAATAACTAGTTTGCACAGTAAAAAGATGCAATTAGCTAACAATCAGTGGTATGAGTTTTGTTCTTTGCAAAAGGCCTGTGACTGTCTTGTATGTTGATATTTCTAATCAGCAGTTTGTAGGTGGGAAGGAACTTAACCATATATGTGGCTATTTTATAAAACGGCTAATAATAGGCATAATTTTTCTCTTCAAATGAGCAGTTGAGCTCATTGTGTGTATTTGGATTGCTCAGATCCCTGATGTTACAAAATGCTATGCATCTGTGGTTGATGCTGTACATGCCTGTGTCCTGTAAGTGTGTGTGGAACACTCTGTGGCACTCATGGAGAATCTACTATAATTGTGCTGTTATCTCCTGTGTGCCTTGCCCCAGTGTGTTCTATGTTTTGAATCTCTTAGCATCCTGTAATATACAAAAATATCAGAATGGTTACCTTTCAGTCTTGTCAGCTGTGTGTGTGTGTGTGTGTGTGTGTGTGTGTGTGTGTGTGTGTGCGCGTGCATGCATGTGCGTGTGAGCAATATATGAACGTCTGTGCAGAGGCCAGGTGAGAACGGTGTGTGACCTGCTCTCTTCCTTAATTCACTTAAGGCACAGTCTTGCACTAAGCCTGGAGCTGGACTGACAGCCAGCAAGCACAAATGACCCTGTTCTCGTTCTCTCCCTCTCTCCCTCTCTCTCTGTCTCTGTCTCTCTCTCTCTCTCTCTCTCTCTGTGTGTGTGTCTGTCTCTCTCTCTCTCTCAGAGCTGAGGTTACAGGCATATAGCTGTGCCTTGCATTTTATATTTTTCCAGGGAATTGTAACTCACACCCTCATGTTTGTACAAGTACTCTTGCCCATTGAACTCACTGTCTTCCCAGCTGCCCTTGTCAGTACTCTTCAAGGTCTGCAAAAGCACAAAATGTTCATGAAAGGAAGTGACAGTCTAAATATGATACCTGAGCTTTCTGTGCAGGGTTTTTAACTTGTGTGTTAGTCTACCATTGACTGCCACAGTCCTAGAACAAATACTGTATTAGAGATTCATCTCTGACCCTCCCACTTACGAACATCCATGTCTTTGACTTGGTTAGCCTATTACACTATTAAGAGTTGGAGCTTGTCCATTGAAGTTGTGTCTCCATTCATAAATTAGTAATGTATCAGGGAAATTTTTCAAATGACCTAACAAGACCTGTTAATTGCTTTTAATGAGTCCTTGTATGATGTGTATCTGTGTTCTTTCTATACTTACTCCCCAAAGAAAAGAAATTCACTGTGAATAATTATGTTTGTTTTTAAATTGGAAACTTTAATAGAAATGAGAATAAAAATGATTTTTGACATTTCTAAGTTAAATATCTAAAAATCTAATGGGATCCTTGGCAGGATCCACTATATATTAAAAAAATATATAGTAGGTGGTGAGATGTATAAGAAGTGTAGATTATTACATAAAATTTGGAACCTGAAGGTTACAAACTAAGGCCACATGGCCTGTTAGGGTTAATCAAGTTTGTGTGTCATGTGGCAATGTTTGTGCTTCAGCTGCACACATAATTGTCATAGAAACTTCATAACCCTAAAATATTAATCTCTGGCCCATCACAGAAAATGCATGTCAATCTCTACTCTAGATTTTTTTTTAAAGTGGTATATCACTGTTTTCAAACTGGAAAAGACGGATATGGGCATCAAATATGAAATAGAAAGGAAAAAATAGGGACTAAGTTTTTCCTGTTTCCAACTCTTTAAGAACTAACTAAAGTCTACAAAAGGCCATACTTGCCAATGGAAACCTATCCAGTTGTGTTCATTGGTCTTTCCATCACAATTAAGATCTACCTGCACATTGTTGGTTCTGAGTTTATCCTTTGATGTGTGTTGGAACAGCATGAGATCATAGGTACCTGTACTAAACTCCCCAAGAGATGTGTGGTGGTTTCCATAGGTATGCGACCCCTCCCCCACATAGACTCATGTGTTTGAATGCTTGACCTATGAGAAGTGGCACCAACAGGAAGTATGGCTTTGTTGGAGTAGGTGTGACCTTGTTGGAGGAATTGTGTTACTGTGGTGGTGGTGGGGGTGCTTTGAGGTCTCTTATGCTCAAGCTATGCCCAGTGTCAGTGACAGTTCACTTCCTGTTGCCTGTGAATCAAGATACAGAGTTCTCAGCTACCTCTCCAGCACCATGTCTGTCTGCATGCTGCCTTGCTTCCCTCCATTACAATAGTGGACTAAACCTCTGAACTGTAAGCCAGCCCCCAATTAAATGTTTTTCTTTATAAGAGTTGCCCTTGTCATGGTGTATCTTCACAGCAAGAGAAACCCTGACTAAGACAGGTTGCATTCATGAAGTCGTTCTTAAAAACTGTTTCCAGGGCTGAGTCATGGGGCTCATAGAACAATAAAACAAGGGACAAATGACTTTGTTCTTGTACCTCCCCCAACATTGCTGCAAAGGTTCTCTTACAAATTGTGGCAAAATGCAGTCAGACTGCCCTGTTAATATTTCACTTGCACAGTACTGGGCTGATAAGAGTTTGGAGTTGTATGTGTCTCAGTTGAGCACTTCTGTTGTCAAACAAAATGTTCTGTGATGGTGACAGTGGCAAATCCTGGTACTATCCAATATCTAGCCATTAACCATGTGACTAATGATGACCAGGAACTGGATTGTTAGGGCTAAAGCACTTGCCACCCAAACCTGATGAGTTTGGATCCCTAGGACCCACAAACAGTAGCCTACGTATCTGTAATCCCAGGGTGTCTATAGGAAATGTGAGAGACAGGAAGAGCTCCACAGGCTTTCAGGCCACCATGCTTAGTTTACAAAGTGGAAAAGAGATCCTATCTCAAACAAGGTAGAGAGAGAACTAACACTGGCTTATGTCTTCTGACCTCCATAAGTGTGCCATGACATGTGTGTCTACATCCTTATGCAAGAATACTCAGGTTTCATTCACATTTCAGAGGAACTGGATCATTAAATACGGTAGTTAATCACTGCATGAGGCTGATGGCTGTATATTGTAGGTCACAGCTTGTTTAAATCTCATTGTTATTAAGATACATTACATTTATTTCAGAGGAGCCACATTGATCAAGTGCTACTTAGTGTCAGGCCTCTTACTGTGTTACCTTAATTAATCCTCTTAAATACTCTTTGAATACATCATTTTTCCAGGTTAGAAAGTTGCATTTTTTTATTTATTTTATTTTATTTGAACTTGTGTTTTGCCTACATGTATATCTATGCACACATGCATGTCTATTGTCTGCAAAAAACAGACGAGAGCATCAAATCCCTTGTAGCTGGAGCTGCAGATGGTTGTGAGCTACCATTTGAGCGCTGGAAGTCAAATCTAGGTCCTCTGAAAGAACAAGCAGCACTCTTAACCACTGAACCATCTCTCCAGTCCCAAGACAGGTGTATTTTAGGGATGCTCAGTACCATGGGCCAGAACATGGTAAGAGCATGGGTGCTTAGGACTGGAACTTCTGCAGAGTATAAAGTCTACTCTGTTTTGTACCTATAAGGACCTGTGACATTTGTTGTCATGAAAATTCAAAAGAATTATTTCATCTGTCTTGTATTCCACACTTGGGGGAAACAAAATTTGAAGGCTGAAAGATCAGCAAATACAACTGGGCAGGTTGTATAAATCACAGTATGGGTGATACATCCCAGGCCTGCAAAATGCAGAAATCTAAGGATGCAACTTCAAGTACCTTTCTCAAGCACTAAAACTATCATGACCACCTAAGACAGAAAACATAGAGAGTGAAGAAAAGAATAAAATTCCCATTCATAGCACACAGCCCAAGAAGGGAGGTGGAGTGTGTAGGTCCTCACTCTCAGAGAGGTAGACAGCTCATCTCAGCTACACAGTCAA